GAGCATAAGCTTTCGTGGAAGAAGTGGGCTGTAGTCCACGAAAGCTTATGCTCTAATAAATTTGTTAGTCTCTAACGTGCCACAAGTACTCCTGCATCTTCTCTCAGTCTGAGTCCCAGCGACTCTGCTGCACTGGAGTCTGCAGGGCAGGATGGGCCCTGAAATCTGACAGCTGGGAGGCCATTTGTAGCAGTTTCTAATCCTCTCTCCCCATCTTCCAGAAGGTACCACAAAAGCATCTGGCCCCTCTGGGAAAAGAGAGAGAAGCAGCCAAAGCCAAGGAGGAGCGGCAAAGTGAGGAGCTGCTGGTAGGTACCCAGAACCCCCTGCCCTGCCCCTCAGGTTTGCCTGACATAAGAATGACATGGTAAATGCAAGGCCCACCCTGCCAGCCTCAGCCAGGGAGCCATCCGTACTGGAGCCCAGGGAGAGGCAGGGTCAGACACATGGGTGACATGATTCCCTTAGGATGCAGTAAGCTCCTGGGCAGGAGAGGGTCAGTCTGTGTTAGCCCAGAGACCCTGTCCACGAGCTGTTTGGATCTCACAGTGACCAGGGATCCTTTCTAGCTCCTAGGGGGGATGGGGGGGGAAGGAGATGAAATGTGGGCTGCAGATATGGAGGATTTCACTCAGTGCAAGTTGATGAGGTTTTGGGGAGAGAGTCTCTCCTGTTGGTGATGTACAGCTCACCCCTGCCCTGATCCCTCTTCCCTTTCTGGGATAAATTAACTTTCCATCACTCACCGCAAGAGAGTGTGTTCTGGTAAATAACTCTGCCCCCCGCCCCGAGGCACATTTATCATTTTCCCCAGTTAACAAGCAGATGAATTTCAATGTTGATAAATGCAAAGTAATGCACATTGGAAAAAATAGTATCAAATACACATAAAATGATGGGGTCTAAATTAGCAGTTAACACTCAAGAAAGAGATCTTGGAGTCATTGTGGATAGGTCTCTGGAAACATCCACTCAATCTGCAACAGCGGTCAAAAAGCGAACAGAATATCGGGAATCATTAGGAAAGGGATAGAAAATAAAACAGAAAATATCATATTCCCTCTATATAAATCCCTGGTACGTCCACATCTTGAATACTTCATGCAGATCTGGTTGCCCCATCTCAAAAAAATACATTGGAATTGGAAAAGGTACAGAGAAGGCCAACAAAAATGATGAAGGGTACGGAACAGCTTCCGTATGAGGAGAGATTAATAAGACTGAGGCTATGGCTACATTCCACAGCTTTTAGCGACACGGCTGTGCCACTACAGCCGTGCTGCTAACAGGCACACAGTGTAGCTGCTGTTTGTCGGCAGGAGAGAAGTGCCAGTGTAGACAAAGCCTGAGACTGTTCAGCTTGGAAAAGAGACGACTAAGGGGGAATATGGTAGAAGTCTATAAAATCATGATTTGTGTGTCGAAAGTAATTAAGGAAGTGTTATTTACTCCTTCTCATAACACAAGAACTAGGTGTCACCCAGTGAAATGAATAGGCAGCAGGATTAAAACAAATAAAAGGAAGTAGTTCTTCACACAACACACAGTCAACCTGTGGAACCCCTTGCCAGAGGATGTTGTGAAGGCCAAGACATTAAGTCAAAAAAGAACTAGAGAAGTGCATGGAGGACAGGTACATCAGTAGCTCTTAGCCAGGATGGGCAGGGATGGTGTCCCTAGCCTCTGTTTGCCAGAAGCTGGGAATGGGTGACAGGGGATGAATCACTTGATGATTACCTGTTCTGTTCATTCCCTCTGGGTCACCTGGCATTGGCCACTCTCAGAAGACAGGATACTGGGCTAGATGGACCTTTGGTCTGACCCAGAATGGCTGTCCTTATGTTCTATGCTCCCTAATTACTGAGCCACCCTCTCCCTGTTGCAGAAACAGACGGAAGCCGAGAGGCAGAAGATTGTCTGGGAGTGGAAGGAGCTGCGAGGGTTTCTGGAGGAGCAGGAGCAGCGGCTGCTGTCCCGGCTGGAAGAGCTAGAGAGAGCCATTGTCCAGAGAAGGGATGAGGGCATCTGCAGCCTGTCCTGGGAGATTTCCCTGCTCAGTGAGAGGGGAGGAGAGAAGGGGCAGCAGCCGCTGAGCCAACCCCTGCAGGTCAGGCTGTCAGTGCAATGATCATACGCAGTGTTTCTATAGGCACTTCTGAGCCCTAGACCCCAAAGCACTTTACAAAGTGGGGTCAGGGGCATTATCCCTATGGGACAAATGGGGAAAGTGAGGCAGAGGGAGGGGCACAGCCCTGGCCAAGGTCACACAGTGAGTCTGGCAACGGCGCCAGGGATGGGTCCTGTGAGTCCTGAATGCTGAAGCCCCAAGAATTTCTCTCCTGGAAATGTCTGTCTGCATTTGCACTTGGAGGGTGAAATCTCCTCCCCCACCATGCTGGTCCCGAGCCAGGCCTAAGGCCCCTCTCACTGCAGGTTAATGGGTTTAGTGGAGCCAGGGGCCTTCTGGGTCTCTCAGCACTGGGGGGAATTTGATTCTTAATGCAGAGAAATATCTTCTGCCTGTAAAGTGCCTGGGGAAAGATTTCTACAGTGGCAACCTGCCAGCAGGGATTGCTGGGGCTGCGTAGGGGAAAGTCCCGGGTAGGAGGTGGTAGCTGCTCTGGGAATGCAAACCTGAAATTCCCCTATTACCTGAGGCATTAATGGTGACTCCCCTGCAGAGCATGAGGCCTCCCCACCCAGGGACACTCCCACTGATGGCCTCCTCTTTCTCTCCCTCTTTAGGGTGCTGGGAGCACTGGGGGCAGGTAAGTCCTGGGCTCCATTTCCCTCCCCCTCATGCAGGGCCGGCTCCAGGCACCAACCTGGCATGCAGGTGCTTGGGGCAGCCACTCCAGAGGGGGGCGGCACGTCCAGCTATTCGGTGGCAATTCGGCGGATGGTCCCTCACTCCCACTCGGAAGGACCTCCCGCTGAATTGCCGCCGCAGATGGCGATCGTGGCTTTTTTTTTTTTTGGCTGATTGGGGCGGCCAAAACCCTGGAGCCGGCCCTGCCCTCATGGGCCGTTAGGTTTGATAACTACACTGAATAGGAAGCTGCCCCCTGCCCTTGAAGCTTGTGATTCTGTCTCCCCTAGTGGCTGACTCGGGTAGGAGAAGAGCCGTTTACTGTCTGATCGCTAATGAGGTCACAGCAGGGCTGCTAGACACAGGGCTGATGGGACGGACCAGGCCTGTCTCTTGGACTGATGTGGCCGCGTCATGTATTCAGAGGCTGCAGAATCTCAGCTTTCGCATTTTTTAAAGTGAGTTGCTGGTCCTCAGCCCCTTCCAAGTGTCAATAGAGACAGTGTTGCCTTGCTGGGGCTGCCAGCAGCCTGAAGCCGTAGCTCTGAGAGCGTGAACTCTCCTGTCCCCTGTTAATGTCATCAGAGTGTCAACTGAAATGACGACACTTTGATGTCAACATTCAACGTTCTGTGGCTGATCACTTGAGCAGGTGGATTAGGGAGAGGGTGGGAGTGAAAGCTTTGCAGGGTGGGAATAGAGGGTTGCTGTAGGGAGGGAAGAAGAGGAGAGACACAAGGACAAGGAAGCAAGAGAGAAATGGAGAAAGCAGGGTGTGAAAGGAAGGGAAACATAGGGAAGAACTAGCAGGGACCCTACAGGGGTGTCCAGAAGGGGGCTGTTTTCCTCTTGAGTGACACTGAGTGTGACAGACAAAGACTTGGCAAAATAATAAGAATTAAATTTTATTTCTGATATGAAGGGCAGATTCTCCCCTTGTTTTTTGTATGTGGGTGTCCCATGGAGAACAGTGGGTGTTCTGCTGTGAATGGAGCAGGGCACAGAGTCCTAAACTGATGTCCTGGCCCACTGACCATAACGGACGGTGCAATATGGCCCTCTCTGCCAAATGAGCTGGACGCCCCAGGGTTACTGTTTCAGCTGAAGGGCTCAAGGGTTTTGGTGTTTAAGGGCCCACGTTCATTCCCTGCCTGAAGACCTGGGCTCTGTCTGTGGCCACTGTCAGCATGTAGGACCTGCCCACTCTTTGGTCTGTGTCTCCTCCCTTTCCACATAATCCCAGTGCTGGTGCCCTTTGTTACTGCAATAAACCAGTGTGGGAGGTGGCTCAGCACCCCACAGAACCAGAGCGTCCTTGAGAAAGCTCCTGAACAATGTCTCCATTCCTTGCTCTAGTGTCTCCCCTCTTCCCATCTTTCTGGGTAGCACAGGGCTAAGGTGACTCACCATGACATTGACCATCTCAGGCCACAAAGCTCAGTTCCAGGTTTCCTGGAATTTGGGGGTTGCTGGGCTCACAAATTGGGGATCAGGCCTATTTCTCACCCCTCCTCCTTTCCCCAGCAGGGAGGACAGGATGTTTCAGAAGCCGGAGCTGGAGTTTGCGGAGCTGGAGAAGAGACTCAGCGATTTCTCTCTGAAAAGTGCCATGCTGCAGGAGGTGCTGCTGGGATTCAAAGGTGAATTGGAGTCTGGGGATGGCATCTCCTCTGGTTAGAGTGACCCTTGCCCTGGAGAGGAGTCGGGGACTCTAGTGACCTCACAGGTCCTCGGCTACATCTGACAGCCCAGCTCAGCAAGTCGTCCTTCCCCATGGAGTAGCCCTGGGGGGCTAGCTCTGTCTACAGCGGCTGTGTTATCAGCTTCTGATCTCTGTCACCATCTCATAGTTAAAAGCAGTTACATTCATAACCAATGGGAACCTCCCCTGAATGCAAGGGCCTGAATTCTCACCTCTCCCATCCTCTATTTCCCCTAGAGATGCTGTGACTGGAGCTGTGGAGCAACACAGGTATGTGTCTGTCTCTGAGGGGTCATGGGGAGATTTCAGAACAATAACCCTGTTAGGGGCAGGGGATTATTTTTTTTATTATTATTATAAATGGAGATATCCTATCTCCTAGAACTGGAAGGGACCTTGAAAGGTCATCGAGTCCAGTCCCCTGCCTTCACTAGCAGGACCAAGTACTGATTTTGCCCCAGATCCCTAAGTGGCCCCCTCAAGGATTGAACTCACAACCCTTAGCAGGCCAATGCTCAAACCACTGAGCTATCCCTCTCCCCTGCAGCCTCCAGCACTTGGAAGCTGTGGAACAATGTGAAGCGATGTTACTTTGTTCTTGCACCACTATATTTTCAACTGACTTGTCTCTTAAATGTTTTAGCTCATCAGTGTCACTTAAGCATTTAAAGTTTTTTGCAGGGTTTTTTTGTAGTTTATTTTTTTTGCTTTAACTTTTTTTATGGCATTTTTTACTGACTAAATTAATATTAGTAATTTTATTTTGGCATTTTTAATTGCAGTAATATTAATAGCGTTTAGTAATTAAGCTTACATAGTCTGATTTTAAAGCTTTTTTTTTTAACTGATAAGATTTTGACAACTTTTCCTGTTTTTGAATGTCTGCTTGATACTTTAAAAAAAATACAAAGGCTGAGCTTTCTTTAAACATGTATTTGAAAGTTGTTAGTATAGTTTGAGTTTTTTAGCTTTTTTGTGCTTTAAAAAAATATAGACTTTTTGTATTTGTTGTGCCTTTTTAAAATTGGTACTGTATTTACATTTGTAACTTATTATTTTAGTGACTTTTCACTCTTGTGATGGGTTGTAGCTAATTTTTACACTTTACTTTAATAAAACAGCTATTAGAAGATAATTTTGTTAAAACAGCAATTCAATCTCCTTTTTGCATAACTTGTTCTTCAAGTATGAATACGTTTTTCTAATAAATGTTTGCTCTAAGCTTTTTTTATGCTTAAATTTATGCCTTAAAATAATGTATATTTCTTGGAATGATTTTATACATTTAAGATAGAATCTTAATTTTCCCCCAATACATTCCTGTTCATCCCTGGGATAATTAATTTCTGGGGAACATCTTCAGCAGAGCTAGAATTATTGAAAGGCGTTGCACTGGAGAGTAAAGGCACAGAGGCAGTGGCTTGTGGGGAACAGGGTAAGTTTCATTACTAATCCTGCTCTTTTGAGTGGTCCTTTTAGAAAATAATTTAACTTACAAGCACTTAGAAACTTTAAGAAAGTCACTAGTCACTGGAGCAGATGCAGTGGGTCTCTTTGGAACATATTTTAACTGACAAGCCCTTAAAGCCTTTAAGAGAAAAGAAAAGGATATAACTATGCTCAAAATTTAAAAAGTGCAAATTAAGGATCATGGATCATCAGAGGAAAAAGAGGAAATACAAGTTAAAACATAATCAAAACAAAGCTTCTCAGTTTAGTTCACTTCTTCTGACTTGGGTTGAGGAACATTTAAAAAAAAATCCAAAAAGAAGTAAACTTGGATGACACAATTTATTTTTAATATTTTGTTTACTAATTATATCCATGTCCATAAGACCAAATTTGGCATAGGTAACTTTGTTCCCACGTTTTCTTGTTCACCAGGTATAGATCTTAGTACTGGCCCTCAACGACATTAGCCCCCTTTTGTTTGGACTAATTTAATTTTCTGTAGTTGGTCTTGCACCTGTGCATGGCATTCATGGCTGAAATTAATTTAACCTACTTTTCATCAACTTGTTGCTATAGATCAGGGGTAGGCAACCTAAGGCAACACACGAGTTGATTTTCACTGGCACTCACACTGCCCGAGTCCTGGCCACCAGTCTGGGGGGCTCTGCATTTTAATTTAATTTAATTTTAAATGAAGCTTCTTAAACATAAAAACCTTATTTACTTTACATACAACAATAGTTTAGTTATATATTATAGACTTATAGAAAGGGACCTTCTAAAAACATTAAAATGTATTACTGGCACCCGAAACCTTAAATTAGAGTGAATTAGAGTCTTAAATGAAGACTCAGCACACCACTTCTGAAAGGTTGCCGACCCCTGCTATAGATTATTATAAGATCTTATGAACTTTCATCTTCTTTTTACAGTGAAGTAAGGCAGAGTTCAAAATGTGGGTGTTATTGGAATTAACAGTTCCCAGGGTTGGTCCATACATGCCATTGCACTTGGCTCGTTCATGCTTTGTCCGGATACAATGTAGCACTCACTTCCCATGTGTAGTCAATGATGATACAAAATAATCATCTAGGCTGGTGTTTCTCAGCTGGTGGTTTGCAACCCCGAGGGGCTCAGGAACGGCAGTCAGGAGCCTGTGAAATGTTGAGTGTTTTATTATGATCTAAAGCAAAGAAAATCTCACTCTCCCACTCCTGCACTCCCCTGTTCATTGTGGTCAAGTATTCTCCGTCAGCCTCTTGAAATATACAAGTTATATATAGACTCAGCACGGATACATGTTTTATTCTTACTTTTTTAGTGAATGTTCGAGGGTTGGAAAAAATTGACTTCCAATAATTGGTACTTGCTTACTTGTTTCAGCTGTGAAATTAGGCAGTTTGCAGCTGTGCACAATAACCCTTTCATTGCCTGTATTACAGCCAGCGAGACTGAAACCCCTGCAGTGGTTAGTAGAGACGGGGACGAGGCAGAAAGTTTGGATCCAAACCGGCATTCAGTGCTGTCAGCGATCGCAGGAGAGCAAAGGAACCTAGGGATTGTTGGTTACTAAGTCTCCCAGGCAGAGGGAGGAGAGAGGGTAAAAGAGAAGACAGAAAATGAAGGAGAAATAAGTGTGTGCATGGGTCGGGGGAAGGTCACAAGCTCCCAAATCTGCCCATATCCAGTCATAGAGTCACAAAGTCTAAGGCCAGAAGGGACCACTGGATCATCTGGTCTGACTTCTGTCTAGCACTGGCTGCCAACACCACCCAGAACCCACCCACTAAACCCAACAGCTGGAGTGAGACCAAAGTCTTGCAGCCCCCAGGAGACTAGACTTTTACATGCCCTAGGCAGAGAATAGGAGGGAATGGAGTGCACCACTGCTCCAGGCCCCTGCAGTGGCAGGGAAATCATTAAGTGAGATATTTCCAGGTAATCCTAGTGAGTGCCCTGCACGCCACGCTGCAGAGGAAGATGAAACCCCCCCCAGGTCACTGACAGCCTGACTCGCGTGGGGAATATTCCTTCCCCATCCCACCTATAGTGATCAGTTAGACCCTGAGCATGGCAGCAAGAACCAGCCAGCCAAGCCCTGAGAGAGAGAGTGATTGATGTCACCTCACAGCCCTAGTCCACCCCGCCAGATATCTTGTCTTCTTCTCCAGCCATTCCTGAAGCTTCAGAGGAAGGAGATTAAAAAACCCTCTCAAAATACATTGGAGGGGAAAAAATCCCTTCCTGACCCCAGCGAGTTGTGGGCCTGAAGCATGAGGCTGGGGAACATAATACATAAAATGAAAGTAAGCCCCACTTAATGTTCCACTATTTGTCTCTATTGACAATGGCTTCCATCTTACTATCACCAGCAAACTTCATTTAATTTACCACACCAGCACTAGGGAGTCTTTGTCCTGTCCCTGCCTCTGCCTGGCCCCACAGTTGCGGGAGTTGCCCCCAGGGTTTTAAAACTAGCACAGTGGATTTAGTGCTGGTGGGAGGGGTTGGGTCTGCGCTGTGATAAAGCGATGGAATGTTTTCCCAGCATGCGAGTCAGAAACATTTTGTGAAGGGAAAGGGCCGGGGAAGATCATGATGTGACAGGAACTAAAGGCCCTTCTGAAATCTTCCCTGTCACCTTTCTCACCCTGACAGGTGGCAGAGTAACACCCACCTTTGGCTCCAGATTGTCCCAGCTTCCCACAGGACAGGGAAGGGAACTGGCTGTAGTGGAGCCAGTCCAGGTAGGGATTATTGTGGGGTTGCTAGTGGGTTCCTGCTGGAGGGAGAGGGGCAGGAAATACTGAGGGCCTGGGATCCTTGGGGGAGTTTAGTCTGGAGGTGGGAGGGGGGCAGGAAATACCCAGGGTGGAGAAAGGGAGGGGGGGACAAGGCATGTGACAAACTTGCTGGGAATTGTTTAACTGAAGTCCTGGATTCCGGGAACAGACCCATGGGGTTTGGGGGAGGAAATTATCCTATTTGTGGACTGGGGGTTGGGGAACCCTGGACAGCATGGGGAAAACCTATCAGCTTCCCAGTGCAAGAACATAAACCTACTCACCAGAGGCTGCTATGAGATATGAAGCGGTGGAAGGGTTACTCACCAGTGGGGCGTAGAGTAGATAACCCCTCCCCTACCTACCTGCTGGCAATGGGAAGCGTGTTGGGATTCCTACTGGGGAGCCAATCCTGGCACCTGCTGAGGGCCCCAACCCCCCATATCAGCCTCTGGCTTGTAGGTGTGTGATGAATGAGAAGACCCTTCCCACTCTGTCTGCTGGAGGCGGGGGGGGGACGACTAGGGGATCTCTATCTCCCCTCCTGTTTTGCTTGCTGGCTGTTCTGAGGGTGGGACTGTGCTGACTGTGGGCCTGCCAGAGCTTCCATTTGATTGACTCCTCTCCCTCCATTAATAGTGGGGCTGTGAGTGGGGCAGCAGGTAACGAGCGTTGGGCACTTTCTCTTTCAGGGGCCGGTGACCTTCGAGGAGGTGGCTGTGTATTTCACCAGGGATGAGTGGGCTCTGCTGGATCCCCGTCAAAGAGCCCTCTGCAGAGACGTCATACAGGAGAACTATGAGAATGTGACCTCGCTGGGTAAGGATTCCTGTCCCCTCCGTTCTTAGAAGGGGGAATGAAGAGTTAAGGTTCACCCCACCCCCACAATGCCACTGCTGCTCTGCCCTGTCTCAGCAACAGCCCACTGAGTGCATTGAAATGGGGCAGACTAGGTCCCTCAGGGTTCACATATATCTCCCTTCATATCATAGTCACAGCTCTGCCAAGCTGCTCCAACTACTCCCTTCACCATCCAGTTACAGCTAAAGCTGACCCAGTGCAAACAGCTGGAAGGCATGTGGATAAATGCTGGTATTCCCACCTGTGAACAGAACACAAACAATGGCACGTTCTTAGTCCTTCATATCTATTGTGGAATCATAGATTTTATGGCCAGAAAGAGTTATTGGGTCATCTAGTCTGACCTCCTGTATATCACAGGTCATAGAATTTCATCCAGTTACTACTGTACTGAGCTGAATACCTTGTGTTCGACTAAATCCACCCCCAGAAAGGCATCCACTCTGACTTGAAGACTTCAATAAATGAAGAAACCTCCACTTTCTTTGTTAGTTTGTTAACCTTTGCACCAGCCTTACTGAGCCATTCCCAGTGGCTAGTGCCAGCTGCAGGGCTAGGGACAGAGTTAAGGTTGCATTTTAGGGGTGGTGTGTATATTAACTCTTCCTTTTCTAGTTTTCAGAGGTGTAAGTTTAGCCACCACCCACCTAGTGGAAAGGCATGCAGCAGAACTGGGCAACCTGTACTCAGTATTTATGTAGATTATGGGCATTTGATTTTCTCATTTTTTAATAGACTTTTTCGGCACGCTGTCTGCGTGAGAGATTTTGCCAGCATAATTCTGTCAATTATGGATGTGGTTTTTCGCATCCCTAACAGACAGAGCTATGCTGACAAAACTTTGCAGCTCAGAAGAGGCCAGAGTCTGCAAGTGGATTTTAAAACACTTTAAAATATTGCTCTCAGCCCTGAAATTTTGGAATCGGGGGAAACGTCTAAGAGGAATTCCTTCAGAATACAACCAAAACACACAATTCACATAGTCTGAAAGTTAACAGTGGTACGACTCCGACTCAGATGAATGAGTGTAGCTCAGAGGCAGTGGCCGCAGCATGTCCTCTTGACCCTACCAACCAATGACTGTGAGAGCAGTGTGACGTTCCTATTCAGGAGTTCTTTGGGGGGTAGAGGGAAGGAGAGCAGGGAGCATGGGAGGGGAGAAGATGATGGGGGAGCTAGTGCTTGTGGGGTGCCACAAGATAGGGAAGGCTGAGTGTAGTGGGAGGAAAGGGATAGGTATGTGGAAGACTAGAGGGAATCAGGGAGGGATGGGTACCATGGAAGTAAGAGGAGTTGAGGAATCAGAGACAGAATCTCCTGGGAACAGGGAGTGTGGTGGTTTGGGGGAGTGGGAGCCTGGGAATGGAGAAAAGGGGGTGGAGGTTCCAGCAGTGGTGCTGTTGGAGAGGGAGGATTGGGTAGGAGATCTGGGATACTTGGAAGTGGAAAAGACTGAAGATAGTGGGAACGTGATGGGGAGTGGTTGTTCTAAGGAGCAGGAAGGATCTGGTGGCAGTGGGAATGGAAGGTTTCAGGGAGGCAGATATTTGTGGCACTCCACTGAGAATGCTTTTGCCATAGTCTCTAATGACCTCTCCCTAAGCAAAGCTCAGAACCAGTACTCCATCCTTATTCTTCTTGATCCGTCAGCCACCTTTAATACCACTGAACATGGTTGTCATCTTGACATCTTGTCTTCTTCCTAGCTCTCCTACCTCTGTAACCACTTCTTCAGCATGTCCTTAGGAAGATCGTCCTCATCCCCACTCCGGTTTTCTGTGGGCTCAGTCCTTGGTCACTTCCTCTTCCTTTGCACTTTATCTCTGGGAAATCTTACCCCCAAACACAAATGCAGCTACTGTCCCTATGCTGCTGAATCACAGATCTGTCGCTCTACTCCAGTCCTGTTTCCTTCTGTCCAAACTGAAATCTCAGCCTCCCTCTGATGCCTCCTTGTAGATGGCTAGCCATCAACTCAAGCTCAACAGCTGAAAAGTTGATAACAGAGCTCTTAATCCCCCAAATGAGCTCCCCACCTCCTTTCTTGCTGTTCACTCCAGAATTAGCTGATGGAATCTCAGAGACTCTGGCAATATTTGCAAACTCAAATGATAGGAGAGGTCCCAGAAGATTGCAGAAGGGTTAACATAGTGCCCATCTTTACAAAGGGGAAAAAGGAGGAGCTGGGGAACTATAGAGTAGTCAGCCTGACCTCAATACCAGGTAAGCTACTAGAGCAATGTATAAAACATTCAATATGCGAATATCCGGAGGGTGAAGGGGTAATCAAGAGCAGCCAGCATGGATTTACTGAGAACATAGCATGACAAACCAGCTTGATATCCTTCTTTGATAGGGTAACTGGTTTGGTGGATAAAATAGACCTGGACATCAAAAAGGCTTTTGACACAGTCCCATGAGTAAGCTGGAGAAATGTGGGTTCAATGGAACTCCCACTAAGTGGATATATAATTGGTTACACATCCTCAAGCAAAGAGTAACTATTAATGGAATGTTGTCAGATTGGAGAGATTTCTCAAATGGGGTTTCACAGGGAACTCTTATGGGTCCGGTGTTACAGTGGAGTCGCATCTTACGCTGGGGTTAGGTTCTAAAGTCCGCGCCAAAGGCAAAAATCGCATATAGTCAAAATTACCATTGAGTGTAATGGTGGGTGGAATCGCCCGCACTACAGGTACAGTATTTAAATTGTTGTTTTTCTCTCTTTTTATTTTTTTGCCAAGTGCGTATAGTTAAAATCATGTAAGTTGAATCCGCGTAGGATGCGACTCCCCTGTATTTAACATCTTCATTAATGACCCGGATATAAGAATAGAGAGCATACTGATCACATTTGCAGATGACACAAAGCTGGGGGGGGTGTCAACACTTTGGAGGATAGAGCAAAACTTCAAAGGGGTCGCGATAAATTGGTGAACTGGGCTATAGACAACAATGAAATTGAACAAAGACAAGGGTAAGGTGCTACACTTCGGGAAGAAAAACCCAATGCACAAATACGGAATGGGGGATAACTGGCATGGCAGCAGCACTGCTGAGAAGGATCTGGGAGTTGTGGTGGATCACAACCACAACATGAAGTCAACAGTGTGATGGTAATGCAAAAAGAAAGAAATGCATTAAGAGAAGCATAGCATGCAAATCACAGGTGGTGATAGTACTGCTCTACTCAGCACTGGTTAGGCCTCAGGGTGACTCCTGGGTCCAGCTTTGGTCACCCGTCACTAGACAGGATGTAGAGAAATTGGAAAGAATCCAGAGGCAAGTGACAAAGATGATCAAAGGGATGGAACGCAAGCCAGTGAGCAAAGGCTGATGGAACTGGGTGTGTTTAGTTTGGAAAAAAGAGTTAATGGGGGGGATATGACAGCGATCTTTAAATACCCAAAAGGCTGTGTAAGCGTGTGTGGCCATCCTTCCTGGTCTGTCTCTGAGGGAGGCCATGCCTCCTCGCTTTCGTGCTCTTAGTACTGCAATCAATTAAGGGGGAATTAGGAGTTTTCAAAGCTCAGGCCACTTGATCCAGGCAGAGCAATAGTTAGTCTATGGTGCCCAGCCCTCAGGCAGGACTGGGCACCGACAGTCAGCGCTCTGGCCTGCAATCAGGGCAGAGCTGTAAAGTCTCCAAGCCCAGGCCCTCAGGCAGGGTGGGGCAGCAAACAATTAGGGGCTTTGGTTAGGGTGAGCACCAAACAGTCTAGGGCTCAGGCAGGGGCAAGCACCAAACAGTCTAGTGTCCTACCTCGGCGGACGGTTGACCAACACCTCCTGGCCAAAGGTGGGGTGGCAGGAGGTAGGGGGACCCTGGCCCAACTGACTCCACTGGGTCCCAGCCCCAGGCCCAAACAGTGGCAGTGTAATCCGCCACTGGATCAGTGGGGATCTGCCCACAACACCCTTACTTAGTGTCAGGCCAACACTCAGCCAGACGATGGTCTAGTTTCCCTGGATTTGGTACCTCTGGCCTCTGTTTCCCCAGGGTCGGTGGTCTGTGGCACCTCGACTGGCTGGTGACCCTGGGAGCTTTGGCCAGTCCTCTGGCGGGCACCCCAGCAGGTCCTCGGTGTTCCACTCTGGCAGCGGCTGATAAGCGTCTGTCACCCTCGGCAGCTCCAGCCCAACTGAGCTGCAGAGCCCTCCTTTTGTACTTCTGTTTCCTGTCCCGCCCCTCAGCTTCCAGAGGGGTGGAGGTGGCTTTCCTGGCTCTGTTGCCCAAAGGGCAAGTTGTGGTCCCTGCTGGTCTTCCTCACTACTGGCTGCCATAAAAAGGATGGAGAACAGTTCTTCTCTCTTGCCACAGAGGGCAGGACAAGAAGGAGTGGGTTCAAACTATAGCACAGCAGATTTAGATTAAATCTCAGGAAAAACTTCCTAACTGGAAGAAAAGTAGGAGAATGGAACAGACGCCTAGGGCGATGGTGGAAGGTTATTCAAAGGAGGTTTTCAAAGGAGGCTGGAGCCATCTGTCTTGGGTGGTTTAGTTGCAGCAAATCCTGCACCTTGGCAGGGGGTTAGACTAGATGACCTTTGTGGTCCCTTTTAACTCTATGATTCTAAGGGGAACTGGGGTTCACCCTTGGAAAAAGCTAAAGCTTGCTTGTTGCCCATTACGGGTATGTCTGCACTGCATCTGGAAGCTGCCTCCCAGCCAGAGTCCAGGCTGACTCACTATAAATAATGGTGTTGGTGCTGTAGATTGGGCTGTAGCTTGGGTTCTAAAGCCAGGAGTTGAGTGTGTGTGTGGGGGGGAGTGGCTGGATGGTCTGAGCTCCATCAAAGCAATGTCTCCACAGCCATTTTTAATGCACTAACGTGAGACTTAGCCTGAAAGGTGGCCAACTCCCTGATGCACTGTAGACATACCCTAAAAAGGGCGGTCCCAAGGGAGAATGTATGACGGTTGGTCACCTAACTCCCTGTAAATCCATGACCCAACCCCCTTGCACCCTGTCACCATGCCTTAGTGAGTCACAACTGAGGATGCCAAATTCAGGACAAACTGCTGAGAAATAGGGCAAACACAACCCAAAACCGGTGGTTATTCTTTTATAAGATAGACCAAACTACCCACAAAAGTAAACTCCTGTTTCACCACATTGGCTAACAAGAAAACATAAAGGCAGTTTTCTCTGGCATTCCGATTCTTATAACACCACCAAAAACACTGGATTCAGAGATGAGTGGTTCTTTACAACCAGTGTCATTAAATAATAGTTTCTTCTGATCCCAAAGGGTCAGCCACTCCCAGGTCAATATACAACTTAGATCTTACCCAAAAATCACACTGGTGCCAATCCTTTAGTATCTAAAAACTAAAGGTTTATTCATAAAAAGAAAGATACAACAATTAGCATATGCATTCAATCACACACCACCCACACACACTGTCCCACCAGTCAATATTATAGTTACAAGTCCAGAGTCCGGATCAACCTAGAGGCCAGCTAGGTTGATCATGGGTAGGAGGAGCTGGGTTCCATTGGTCATGACACAATGCTCTGCGGAAGTCTTGGCAGGGTGAACCCAAAGTTTCATGGCAAGGCACCCTGTTTATATAGTGATTTTCCTTCATTGGGACCAATGAGTTTTGCACCGTCATGCTTTAATCAATTGTTGTTTGACGAGTGCTTGTTTTCTTAAATTGCCCTTCTCATCCTTTTTCTTGATCTTTCATCAAGTTCCTCAGGGAGTTATCCCATGTTGGTTTTGATCACAGCTATCTTGTCCGCACTGATAGGTGCCTGTCTCATCTTTAGAGTCGTCAGCCTGCCCTCGTCTCATATTTCACTAGGGGTGTTGCAGCCTCCTGGCACCCTTATGTCTTTCTCCAGTTCCTCCCTTGTACATCTGGTTCAGCGATGGCCTGCACACTTACCTCTTAACATGTACATTCCTTATTCACACACAAACCAGAATTAATTTACACAGAACATTTTGAACTGGAACATCAAATTGCAATGCAAAAGAAAACAATCATGTCATTCTTTTACTTATTTTAAAATGCTAAACCTACAACAAATTGGTTATCCTCGAAGGTCTGTTACTGCCTTGAAATCAGTCCAGACACAGCTTCTGGCTGATGTATCTCTACTCATTCGCCCATTAGGACATTCCTTTCTGTTATTCAGAAAGGGTGGCTGGCAGGATATGATCAGATCATACACTAATACATTTAATTCATGCTACATTATTATCCTTCATTCTAAATTATATAAAATACAAACATAAAATCCTACTACTACATGTGGGGGAAGAGTTTGGGGGAGTTCAGTTCCTGATTTTTCTTTGACCTCCATCCAGCACTTGTTTTGTTTAGCCTTCCCCTTTCCATTCCTGTTTGAGGTTTCTGTCTCTATCACAGCAGGTGATGCAATGGTATGTGACAAAGAGGAGCAGAATTCTCAGAAGGAAAACGTTGAGCAAGTGGATAAACACAGAGCATTATCGCATAGATCAAAAAGGAATGTGTCCAGGAATCATGAGCAGGAAAACTCCTGTGAGATTCAGCACAGTCCAGAAAGAGAGCTGGGAAACCATCCAGGGGAGAAAATGGGTAAATGTATTTCCTGTCGGGGAACTCAGAAGGACCTCAAGGAAACCACAACACAGCAGGAAATCCTCATGGGAAAGAGAAAAAATACATGCACTGAGGGTGGAAAAAATTTATGTGACTCCTCAGTCCTTATAAAGCATCAGAGAATCCCCACAGGTGAGAGGCCCTTTGAATGCAGTGAGTGTGGGAAAAGCTTCAGTTGCAGCTCGCACCTTATTAGGCATCAGAGAATCCACACAGGAGAGCGCCCCTATGCATGCAGTGAGTGTGGGAAATGCTTTGCTAAGAGCTCAGCCCTTTCTGAACATCAGAGAATCCACACAGGGGAGAGACCCTATGAATGCAGTGAGTGTGGGAAAAACTTCACTCACAGTTCAGGCTTTTTTCACCATCAGAGAATCCACACAGGGGAGAGGCCCTATGAATGCAGTAATTGTGGGAAAAGCTTCAATCGCAGTTCGAACCTTATCAGGCATCAGAGAATACACACAGGAGAGAGGCCCTACAAATGCAATGAGTGTAGGAAAAGCTTCACTAGCAGCTCAGCCCTTTCTGAACATCAGAGAATCCACACAGGGGAGAGGCCCTATGAATGCAGTGAGTGTGGGAAAACCTTCTCTTGGCACTCAACCCATCTTAGCCATCAGAGAATCTGCAAGGGAGATCAACTCCATAAAAACCTCTAGGGCAGTAGTCCCCAACCTTTTTCATCTGGCAGGTGCCAGACAATGAGCCACAGAGGACTGTGATGGCGGACGAGCATCCGCCGAAATTCTGCCGACAAGCGGCAATGTCAATAGGCGTCACCGCTGACAAGCAGCGTCATCCAGAGGTGCCGCCGCCGAAATACCGTCGAAAATTGGTGGCATTTCGGCAGCGACGCCTCTGTATGACATGGCTTGTTGGCGGCTTTTCGGCAGATGCTTGTCTGCCGGCCAGTACGCGGGCACCGTGGCTCCCGTAGGCACCGTGTGGGGACCCCTGCTCTATGGCTATCAATACTTTTTCTCTTTAATAATTTTCCTGATTCCCACATAGTAACTTTTAAAGATTTTTGAACTGTTTGCTGCACCATTATCCCTCAGTTTGTCCAGATGAGTGGCCCATTTTTGTCTTTTTGCAGTTTGCCCTGCTTTGAGGTGGACCCATTTGTCCTGTCTATCAATTCGATTGTCTCATGAGTAATTCTAGTGTGCCCTTCCTATCAGGAAACAGGGAGCATCACATTTATACCATTCATCCTATTGCAAAGTTATTGTTAGAATCACCAATGATTCAGATTGTATCATTGCCAGTTCTCACGTTGCTCTGGGTTGTGCCGAAGAGCAGTTATATTGGGAACTTTTCAAATTATATGTAAATGAAGAGGAGCAGAGGGAGAAAAAAGTGTTATTTCAGCCTCTGTGATACTGGAAGAGTACGGGGTGACTCAGAGATTCCCTCCTTCCCCATCACTGCAGAACTGTTACCTTTTGTCTGACCCATGTAGAGTTTATCTTCATCACATTCTATTCATCCACTTCTCAAAGTGTCATGTGATGAAGCTTTCTCCATTGTCTGCACTTGGAGATGATGCTTTGACTTCTTTAATCCTACATCAGAGTCGCTATGACTGGAGATGAAACTGTCAAAGACCTGGAAGGGGAATTCAAATCGATCCCAAACGCCGTGTGATCATTTGGAGTTTAAATCCCAGGTTCCATCTATTGATAAAGCCACTTTGGGCAAGGTGGCTGTTTTGTCCCCCATTAGGATACTAAACATGTTGTAAATAACATAACTGACTATTGAGACAGTGCTGAATGAAGCAGGTTTGAATGGATCAGAGGATAATGTGATGGGAGAATCTCTTATCCTGATTCTGAATAATCAGATGTAACCTGCTCTGGAATTTCACTTGACACTTCCATTGTCATGTATTCTGTCTCTCTGTGATGTGGGTTTCTATCTTTTCTGAAGGCTGTTTGGTCACCCAGTTGGATATTAGTTCAGTTTGATAGGATGTAGCTCAGATTTATTGGAGACTTAAGACAAATGGCCATTTGCTAAAGTCGTCATTTCTCACTTCAGTTTTGCTTTTTCCCCCATCCCTCTATTATGACATAGAGAAAGTTCAAGTGCAGTTCTGTCAACAGGAGAGAATTCTCCAATTTACTTGACATGCTAACAAAGAAACAGCAGTGATTTAAAATCTCCATTCAGAAATGGTTAACAACAGCAGAACCCCAACTAACTGAAGGAAGTGCATATGATCACAGTGTAGTTCAGTTGTTGAAGTCAATGTTGTCTCAGATGATCTGGGGACAGAATTCCATATTAGGTGATTTTGAACTAGGCAAAATGCCCATGTATTTGGTTCGCAAATGATGTGTAGCCCAGGCCCTACAAAAGATCTCTCCTAGCTAATCCTATGTTATGGGGAATGCTGCCCTTCATGACACAGATGTTTAGGAAATAGAAGTGGGCTTTTTGTTAAATTTATCCTTTGTAGGTGTTAAAAATTTGTATAAAATCAGTGTTGGAAATTTAATAGCTGCAGAAAAATAATTATTTTTGAATAGAATCTCCAGCTCTGGTAACAAACGAAGATTCTGATCCAGCCCTGTATCCTGTCCCTTGCCTGGAACTGTGCCACCCAGTTAAAGACAAGCTGGGTATGTTTTGGGAAACTGTGCCACCCAGTTAAAGACAAGCTGGGTATGTTTTCTTCACTAATACTGCTGAGATTTTGAGTGGTTTTTTAAAGGTTTCTATTTCATAGAATTGTAAATTTACCCTAACCAAAGCCAAGGATTTTGAAAGAACTGGGGTGGAAAGAGTACACACCCAGTTCTTGGTTTCTACCCCAGTAAAGGAAGCTCTGGTGACCAATGGCCCGAGGGAAATTGTTGTACAACTCCACTTCTTAGTTCAGTGTCACTGATTACAGTTCCAAAGAATACCAAAGTTAGACTGAGAACAATAACTCTGAGTCTGGACTCAAAAATCCAGAGGGCAGCTTAGAAAAAAGATGTTTAAAAATGCTACTTTTGGGGGGTAATGTTATTACTTTCTTGGTTTTTCTGAGACTCTTGGGACATGTTTTCTGCCTGAACTTGAAGGCTAAAAGTGGACTTTTTAAAATAAATAAATGGGGAGATTTTTGTATCCTCATTGGGCTTCGAGATTGGGGCCCCGTTGTGTTGGGCACTGCAGAGACCCTGTACAACTCATAGTGAGAGAGAGAGAGTCCTTGCTGCCAACAGCTCACAGGTGAAATAGACAAAGTGTGGGAGAGCAGTTCCCATTTTACAGATGGGGAAACTGAGTTCCAAAGATGTGATGTAATTTGTCCATGTTTGCACAGAGAATAATGGGGCCAGATTGGGAACCGAGTCCAAATTTTCTGAGTCACAGCCTGGCCCTTAATCACAAGCCAAGTGTTGTTGATTGCATGGTAGAGGCCCCAGTGGGAAGTTGCAGAATCGCCTTCATTGGAGGATTTTAAGAAGGGGTTATACAAACACCTGTCAGGGATGGTCTAGTGATACTTTTCCTGACTCTCGGGGTCCCTCCCTGACCCACCTTTCTATATGATTCAATGGATCATCCTATTTATAATGACCAAACTTTTATCTCTGGAATTATCTTTTAAATGGTTATTATCCCCCCTCTTGCCTGGGGTAGAATGGAAGAGGAGAAAATCCTCTCTCAACAGAGGATGCAAATGTCGGTTTGTTCTCTCTTCATGTTTTACTGAAGCTCAGAGAGAGAGGAAGAACCATTACTTACCTAAGATGGTAGAGAGGACAGAGAGTTTATTTCATTTTGGGCTGTGAATATAAGCAGAAGAGTGGCTGTCACTACCATCCAATGTGGGGTTTTAATGCAAGACCATGGGATTTGAAGTGTTATGTGCTACCAACTGAGCTAGCCAGGTTTGAGTCTGTTCAGCTGCCCAGTCTCCATGTAGAAGGAGCCCTGAGAGCATTTATTTGCAAGCTGAGGTTCCTTTTCTGACATTTGCCTTCTTTCCTGGTTTGTTATGTGTCCAGCGAGCAAACCGGAGCTGTTACAAGCCGAGTTAGATGCTGCTTTCTAGACCAGAGATCTGGGGTTGATTTAACATGCTGTCACCATCAGCTGGTCAGAGTAACCAGTGTGGGAGGGTGGAATTTGGATTCTCCCACCGGTGGAGGTGTTGTTAGACTCATCTAGTGGGGGAGAATCTGAAAAAGCTTCTCAGCTCCCAGAAATGGGGTAGAGAAGATGGTTCCCTGCACACCACGCACACATTTTCACAGGAACTCAGGTCCCCTGGTTAAAAACTCAAAAGAATCCCGGGTCCAGGAATGTCAGAGAAGGGAATCACTGTTTGCCTTAAGAGGTGGGTGAGGGAAACCTGCAGGTACTTAGATCCCTCCAACATCTGATATAACCATTTGTGGGGAAGGTCTGGAGAAACTGAGGAAGCCAAGGAGAGGGAAAAAGAGCTTGTAGCTGTTATGCAATCACCATGCTCCCAGCAGAGGGGTCCTGGGGGTTCAGCACTTTGGCTGCTTGTTGAGGACACAGAACTCACAAGATGGCAAAGCTCAGAGCCCCATTACATGGAGTAAGAATGCAATCAGCTCACACCAAGGGTGAGCAACACCCCTCCTTTGGTCTCTATGCCAGAGCTCCTATCAACTCAGCTTCCTTCCTGGAAAAGCATCCAGGTAGGCTACAGAGAGGGTTATGATGGGGTAAATTAAGACAGAGGAGGATTGTTCCACATGGCTTTCCTTTGTGTTCCTCTGTGAGCCTGCTGGAGTTTGTTTTAGTACCTTGGGTTGGACTCACATTGTGACCCTGAGCACAGCAGTTCCTGCACTCTCTGCTCTTAGACCCTCAGGGAATGGACAAAAGAGCAGCTTCAGAAATTGGACAGAAAGTAGCCTAAGAAATTGTAGTATAAGTGAGAAGAAAATAAACATTATCAACTCCCTGGTGGTCTAATGGTTAGGCTTTGGCACTTTTATTGCCACAGCCTAGGTTCAATTCCCCATCAGGGAAAAGTGACTTTATATCAAAGTTAATTGACAGTTATGTTTCAGAGTAGCAGCCATGTTAGTCTGTATCTGCAAAAAGAACAGGAGTACTTGTGGCACCTTAGAGACTAACCAACTTATTTGAGCATAAGCTTTCATGGGCTACAGTCCACTTCTTCGGATGCATAGAATGGAACATATATTGAGGATATATATATATACACATAGAGCATGAACACGTGGGAGTTGTCTTACCAACTCTGAGAGACCAATTAAGTAAGAGAAAAACAACTTTTGAAGTGATAATCAAGATAGCCCACTACAGACAGTTTGATAAGAAGTGTGAGAATACTTACAAGGGGAGATAGATTCAATGTTTGTGTGTTCTTGTGTGTTTGTTTGTAGGGGCCGGCAGGGGCTGGGTGCTGGGAAGGACGCCGAGCCCTGAGTAGGGGGCGGAGCTTGGCTGATCAAGGGGCCCATAAAAGCGGCCGCCCAGCCAGGCAGCTGCGAGCAGCGGCAGCAAACAGGGCGGCTAACAGGGGAGTTTGAGAGGGAGTTCTCATTGGAGGAGAAGGTACCCGTATTTGCATCTGTCCTTGTGTGTTTGTTTGTAGGGGCCGGCAGGGGCTGGGTGCTGGGAAGGACGCCGAGCCCTGAGTAGGGGGCGGAGCTTGGCTGATCAAGGGGCCCATAAAAGCGGCCGCCCAGCCAGGCAGCTGCGAGCAGCGGCAGCAAACAGGGGAGTTTGAGAGGGAGTTCTCATTGGAGGAGAAGGTACCTGTATTTGCATCTGTCCTTGTGTGTTTGTTTGTAGGGGCCGGCAGGGGCTGGGTGCTGGG